TTTTTTTGTTAAACAACATCCAAATGTAGTGAACCAAAAAGATCAACCAATTTACTTTTACTGGCTCTGTAACTGCTTAGCTCATATATTCGTATATTTTTACAGTACCTCTAGAATGAGTTGACTTTTCAACTTTTATATATCACAACAATTAACTTCAAATGTAAGAAAAACTTTATTGGTCCATTAAACATTGAATCTATAACAATACAATCACTCAGTATACAAAAGGAAGTGTCCATAAAAACCATTAACATGCTTTAAAAAGGCAAAGCTATTGACTATTTTAAAATTAAGATCTTAACAATTCTGAAATCTTTACCAATCCTTAAAAGTCAAAGTGTTACAGTTACTACAGATCACAACACTCGCAAAAATGTTAAATAAACTAGCAAACCTCCACTTCACTGGGCTACAGCGTAATAAAATAGAACCACACATACACACCAAAAGTTCCCTTGAGATATTAAGAACCTTGAAAAAGACTAATTAAAAACCCCTCACCATTAAGAAAAAGTGTTTACATTTTGACTACTTTGCATCCAGTTTTCAAACATTGTGTATATGAGACTGAACACCACTCACTGGTGGTAAACTAAAAGTAGACAGTGAACCCATATGTTCCTAGTAAATATTTTCTCAGCTTGTATATGACAAGTTGAACAATTTTCTCTGAGAGTTAGTTCTCCTCACTTTAAGTTTGCATGGATGTCCAATGACACCTAAGCACCTGGACATGTATCAGTAAGAGGAAAAATAAAGCTACGTTATGAGTAATGAGACATTATTTCCCCACAGCTTTCCAAAATTCTTCTTGGCTTCGCACTGAGGCTCCTTTGGCAAAAGCGCAGCTGCAGTGTTGCACCCCGCAGCTCTGGTGAGCAAAAGCCCTGGAAGCTTTAAGCTGCTGGAGCGGTTTCAAAGCTGACAACTGCAGTTCTGAAGAAGTCTGTGCAAACGGCTGTACGCTACGGCACTGGAAGCTGTCGGAGACTGGCAAATGAGGGGAAGCCAGCGTGGCTTATATCTGAAATAAATTCCAACTTTTTAAAAATCACATTATTGAACAGGTGTGGAATGAGTTGAAACCAGCTTTGAGAAAAAAAAACAACACAAAAACCCCCTGGATTTAATGCCTGCTTGAAACCTACAGAGTTTCTTTGGGCATTAGAAAGCAGATGTCATGCCAGTCTCCCAAAGTTTCTACTTCAAACCCTGCACAGTGTGTCTGTATCCCCATCCTGGGGCACTTGGGCATTCTGCCATCAGGATGTTGAAAATGCAGAGACATACCAGTTCCCAAGCTATGCAGCCTGTTACAAGCACAAAAAGCCAAAGCTTTCTAAAGCGCTTGACCCCTGGCATTACTCTTGTACGGTCACGTGAAACACTCAGTTCAAGCTACTGTTCACAAAATTGAAAACACGAAGTAAAATGTCATGGCACTGATTACGTGTTTTCCTCCCACAAGAACTTGTAGGCCACTTCAGAAAACAAAGAAGCAGTTTTCACAGAGGAAAACTGATCCATATAATAAACTGTGATCCTTGACTTTGCTTCAACACTGCAGGTTGTCTTGCTATAAAAAGGAAAGGATCAACAACAGCTGGCAAAGAAGTCTTTGCTAGTTTCTAGCACCAAAGACATCCCACTTGACAGGAAGCAGAATGGGAGTGAAGCAGGTTTACAATGCCTTCAAAAAACAAATCCAAGGAGAAATAGGCAAATAAAATGAGGAGATACAGCCCGCAAGCAAAAGACATTGCTTCTAAAGCCCAGAAGGAAAGATGAGAGCAAAATTTTAGCTGCAGATAATCTTGTTCATCTAGCCACACAGGTACAGTCTCGTGGTATTTTGCTTCATCAACTTGTTTAGGAGAAAAGCCTAACAGTTTATAGCATAAAATCTTTATAGCGTGTTTTAAAAGCAGTCAGTGGATTATTTTGCTACCAATGTGTTCGGAGATGCCCAGGATACTGTGGGCTGCTAGCCAAAGTTCAAGCAGCACTGTCTTGAGTTTCCAAATTTTCCTGATCCATTGGTCAAAACCAGAGAACTGTTAAAATACAGCTTTTTCACAAGTGCAATGGTTGCTTCATTAATAGCAGTGTTCTAGCCCAGAAATGTCTGCACCAGTGGCTGATAAAGCAGTTATATGTGCATAGCTTATAATCTCAAAGCGCTTCTAGATTTGTAAAAAGGTGCTAAAACACAAAATAAATAAATAAATAGACATGCAGTGTTCACGATTCTGTGAGGGGATAAGCCCTCTCTCTGGACTACGCATACATCAGCAACACTGAATTACCCGTTTCAGACGAAAGTGGCCCAACCCAGCCAGGATTTACCAAATTAGCTGGGCAAGTACGAGCTTTTTGACCCTCATGGAAATACTTGAAATACAAAGCTAAGAGTATCACAAACATGTAATAACTCTCATGTGTAATCACAGTGGAGTTCCTTACTTAGCATCCAGCTGCAAGGGCTGCCTGTGCACTTTGAGGAACTAGGTGGTAAACAGCAAAGAAGCATATCCATCTGCTTTCCACACATTCTTGGTAAGGTTTTATGGTCTCATTTGTTAGTCCAGCTATTTGGATTCAGAGACTTGCTCTCTGAGTCTGTCTGAATGATTTTAGTCCGAACAAGAACCAGTCACGATTGCAGCTCTTGGTTGCCTCCAGGAGAAAAACTAAAATTGTTCCAGTCTCAGATGACAGTGCAGCAGTGAGGTTCCAAATAACCTTTTATGATAGCAAATTTGAAAAAGTAGAACACCAATAGAATTGTTTCACCTTCCCAGCAGAACTAACTTCTTCCAACACAGTCTTTTCCTCCAAGAGTCCATTAAATGATAATATTAGATCAAATTCAAGTTTAACTAGAGGAAACTTTGTACAGGACATTTCTCCAGCCTTCCTGTCTTTGTAACAACAGCTTCCTCACTTCACACAACCCAAAAATATTAGGAGCCAGAAATGCTGCACCGCTCACTTATGTCTTGGAACAAATTCAATGAACAATTGTGGCACAAGGCAGGACAGACACTGCACAGCTAACTGCCTCAAGCAGAGCAGTTACCTGCACTTTCAGGTATGGGGAGAGAAAGTTAACTGTTTACAGCTTGAATTTAAATGTAAGCAACAACTACTCATTTATTTACAAAATCATCAGGCTATTTGTAAGTTTTCCCAGTTCATCTTCCACTGCACAGGAATATCTGAATCAGTCTCATCCCCAGGTTTGTCAAGCACAGATTATTTGGTCTTCCACATGCACTGTGGGTCTGGGTGTGTCTTGTACACACTGCTGTAACGTACAAGGCAGCATCACCCAGTCACAGGCTCAGTTCAGGTTTTCCAGTTCCAGTGCCACCAGAATTATTAACTATCACAGCAGTAGGTATGAAGGCACTTCATAAAAAGGTTTCAAAAAACCCATTTGCATGAACTACTTGGAATCTATGAACTGGGCATTTCAATCCTTGACCCTAGCCAAGAATTTTGATAAGTAGTTGCACATGGAAGTTCACAGTACAGATTTTACAGTGAATGCTAAGGCTGTAACATTTGCCTGGCCAGCAGGAAGCCATGCCTCACCGAGGAACTAGAGACTTTGCACACCCAGGTGCTACCAGTTACTGATTCCTTTGAAAGGCCTGGAGATCCATAGCTGGATCTGGAGCCACAGCATGGACACACAGGTCCTCAAAAGTTATTTTTGGGGTCTTTTCCCATACGTTTGCTCAGATGCAGACAAAGCAGTGTATTCAAGCACTGCCCCATCCTCACCCTATGTATACCCGCAGATCTAGATGCTTAAGGTCAATAGTTGGTGGAAGGGAAGGATGAAGGAGCAACTAAGTGAGGCGAGTGCTGTGTAAGAAGAATGGGCTCACTGTGGACTTTCCTCTTACAACCCTGTTTCCTCTGTGCAAAATCTATTTCCTTTAATACAAACTATAAAAAAAATAAGCACAAGGAGGTGCAGGAAGTTCTCATGCAGGCTGATACTGCCTACATAAAATAAGTGTTTTCGTAAACAAATAAGAACATCCATTGGCCAAGATATGTATTAAGATCATCCACATTTGTCACTGGGATGCCTGCTACCAGAACCAGAGAACAGTTACCATTCTCTGCCCTATAACTTGACATAATGCATGCTGCCTTCTGTAGAGCTCCTTGCCCAGATTGTTCTGTTATAAAAAACATTGCTAATTTAAAAAAAAAAAAGCTTGGTTTCTCATAGTACAACACATACGGCACCAGAAGGCAACTCCTGCGAGCCTCTGTACTTTAGGGAACAGAATTTGCCAAGGGAGGAGCCAGAGCCTGGACTATCTCAGCTGCAGCTCACAGCTCTAGCACTGGACCAAGACTGTTTGTCAGAATAGCTGCTATGAGTTAGGTGGGACAACTGTTAGTCATCACTGCACAGCCCATAAGCTCTTATCTTAGAGATGGGACAGATAAAGGCGTCTAGATTGTGAATGCATTAAAAAAGGCCTTTTTCAACTGCAGAAGGATCTGCGTGGCTGGACTCTAAACGCAGGCAGAGACATACTGACGGGCCCCCATGCCAGCAGAGCTCTTCGTGAGATCAGAACCTCGCAGCAGAAGCAAAAGAAAAAACTCTCCAGAGCTATTTGTTGGTTTTCTAACTCAATGTCAAAGCTAAGCTTGAACTGCTTTTTTTTCCCCGAGGCGCACACAAGAAGAAGAGCAGCAAGAGAGTCACCTCTGGACAGACTCCCCCTTCTCTCAGATCTCATGACAGATGTACTTTGAGGCTTCTAATCACTGGGATAGGTGGTGTAACTATACAGGACTGCAGTCCTGTAGATTTCCTAAGATTGCAGGGGGTTGGGAAGATCGCATCCCTAGCAAACTCCAAGCAGGACAGAAGCCCTAGGATACCACAGCAACAAGACAGCTAAAGTGGTAATGAAAACAAGAGCAGAACTGAGATCTGTTACATTAGGATTACTCACCAGGTGTGCATTAGCCATCAATATTGCAATAGAACAAATAAGGCATGCAAATATTTTGGCCATCTCATTGGCCATTATCTTGTGCTTTTCTTTGTTTTGCAGAAAGAATGGGTGAAGATTTAAGGCTCAATCATATTTCAAAAAGAGCACTGCTAAATCAGTTAATTTTGTTTATATCCTGCATATTTCACATTGTATGTGTATATACAGAGAGAGAGAGAAGACAAAACCTCTGGGACTAGCGTATGTCATTAATTTATCCCACTGGAATGTAGATAGCTACAGTGGGTTCAACCTTATTTAGCATTTACGGCATCTGAGCTGTTGTTCTACCACCAAATCATCTGCTTAAAGCAAATAAAAATTACATGGTAGGATTTAACATTGTCAAGTCAGTCATTTGTACTAAGGCAGCTGCTGTTACATTTGTGTCTTCTGGTTTTGTTTTTCTGACTGCTTACCCCACTGCTTGGAATAGGAGTTCTCCAAAAGAAGTTTAGTCTCCATTAATGGATTGGTTGGCTAAGTCCCATCCCAACAGCAAAACTAACATCAACAGAGGAGTATAAAAATATAGCAGTTAGAAAGAATACTTTCCAACCAACACACAGGCAGAAAAGGAAGATGACACACTGTAGTCATTTTCTGACCATCAATGCATTTAAAATATTATAAAATTAGTCATGGAAACAGAACTGAAGATCCTGGGAGATCTTTAGACACAAGTTGAAACAGCAGGGTAGAAAAGTAAATGAGCACTCCACTTTTAAATTTAACAGCAACTGGCAGTGCTCCTGTAATTAGCATTTTCTCAACAGCAAACATTCTGAATAAAGAATGTACCGTATCTTGAATCCCTGTGCAGTACACACAACTTGCAGTTTAAGTGAGCTGGCAAAGCAAAGGTAGACAAAATTCAGAGTTCAAGAATTTTTGTGTAGAAATCCCCTTCTGTTAACAATCAGACCAGATCTGAATTGCATAAAATATTCAGGTGCCTTTTAAAGTTATAACAGAATAAATACTCTATTATCATTGGTACATTCCTTTCTCAATCTAGGTATACAATAACTTAATATATTTAATATTTAGATAAACAATTTTTAGTAGATGCTTTGGCAGTTGAATTCTTACATGTTCTCTATTTCTACAGAAGTAATTAGTTATGTTTTCGGAAAAAAATATCTGTATACTACTTACAAGAATTATATGCTGTACAAAACAGCAGTACAAATCATCACTGCAAACTGTAAAAGAAACAGCTAATAAAAGAGTATAAAAAGGAATGCATATTTGCTAGAAGATACCCAACATTCACAGGAAGGAAGAAGATATATCTGCACCATGATTTTTTCTTTTCTTGCCAATGAAGCCAGAGAAAGATTGTCAGTTATTTGAAAAGCATTTCACTTATTCCAGTTTATGCAACAATTGTGTTTCCTACACTCCACACATCAGCATTACAAACTTTTGGGACAGATTTGTTCCTTTGGGCAATGCTTGTTCATAACAATTAAAAAAGGGTAAAAAAGTCTTCAATCATTTGTTTAGTCTGACTAAAAAGTTACTAACTGGTACATTAGGATAAGTGGGCAATAGGTGTTTCCTCCTTGCAAAATGACTGTTGTATTTTATTTGTAACGAAAAAAAAAAAGATAAAAACATGGAAGGATCTTCTGAGTGTTCACACTGAGAACTCTCTGGTTGGGCAACAGAGTGGAGCAATGAGAGTCCATAAATACAGACAGACACAAACCCAACAGGAGACCATCTTAATCCAGAAGATGGACCAGGTTCCGGTGAAGAATTTTTCAATCTGAGCACTTTCATAACTGTTAAGGAAAAAAAAAAGAAGCAATAAACTCACTATTGATATCTCTGACTGCAGTATCCTCTGTTTTTCCAAGTGGGTCACAGACTTCAACTAGGTTAACCCAGACATGAAGCAGGGGACAGCAGCCCTTTGTAGAGCAAGATCTTGCTCAAGAATCACCCGGGAAGGACTTGTAACACCTCTTCCAGCTTCTTACTTAAGGAGAGAAGACACACTAATGGCAGAAGTTCCCATTCACATCTCCCCTCTCAACGCAGAGACATTACTCAGCTTTAAAGAAATACACTTACTGGAACCAATGAGTTACTGTCATCATCACGTAGAGCGAAGCCAAGAAGAAAACAAAGTGGAAGTAGGCATAACTGTACACCGTGCTTTTCTTCTCATCATAAATCACAGTCTGGCCTCCCCTTTTTTCAATGTGGTCTTCAGCATCAGCTGTATGAGACAGGAAACAAGAAAGCATTTGCAAATTTAGTAAGAACTGAAAATGGCAGCTGACTTCACAAAGAACACAGCAAACACCTATGGTGTGATTTAGAAAAGTGTGATACAGAGCAACACTTGAACACTTCCTTGCCCTCAGGGCATGGGCCTAAGCCTTTAGTAAAAGAAATTCAACTGCCACTGAAATCCTGCCTTGTATCAGCTTCCTGGCCTACTGGCTAGTTTTTGAGCATTTGCGTCATTTAAATTGCTCTACCTGTACAATACTCTTCTGGCAAGTCCAAGCTGATAACCCTGATTGTACCAGGTCTGCAAACAGGACACTCCCCTCCTAACTCACTCCTGAACTGCAGTCCCTGCAGAGCTGCTGAGCCAAAATTCCAGCAGTCAATCACACCCATAAGCATGCAAAGAGCAGAGATTACTTTTTGTATGTTGCAGTAACGAAATGTCTCGTAAGGAATTATTAACTAGCTTGTTGTTTTAAAATGGTATTGTTACATCCCTTGCATCCTTCCCTAGCCTAACTTTGAGTACTTCAGCTGCTTCAGTTCAATATGCTACAGAACAATGATACAAGCAGCTCTCCGCAGCTGTGTCCTTACTGTCTTGGCTTTAGTCTGAAAGCCACAAGTCAGGTAAATTGTGCAGTGAAAATGGAATTACCATCTCCGTCAGGCACACAGCAAAAGCAGCAACGAGCTACCTGTGGAACAGAAAACAGGAAGGGTAAGAGTCTGTGCTACAGCAGAGAAGCAGAACAGTTGGTGAAGGAAGGTCTGTTATGTCTACGCTACAGACACTAATTTAGAAAAGTCTGGTTTGTATTTCCAACCAGCACAAAACTCAAATTAGGATTAGCCAAGTAGTTAATAACAGAGCTTTTTCTAAGCTTCGGAAAAACCTACTCAGTAAGATTTGGAGCAAATTAACCATTCTCTAAGAATTACTCTACCCATTTCACGTAACTCAAGGTCAAACACTGGTGCAAATAATTAGAACAAAATGGTGGAAAACCTACAGTAAAGCAGTTGCACATTAGTAGTTCAGAGGAGATGCACCTCTTCAGCCTTGCATCTAAGTGCTTTTTAAATAAAAAATTTCTCTACTGAAATGAAAGTATGAGGAACTTTTAAAACCCTGCTGCATGGGTTGGAAATCACAACTGCAGAAGCAAAGTCAGAAATCTACTTATCTTTGCAAGATTTTGCTGACATGGAACCAGAATGAGTACAAGCAGAATGAAGATTTTTTATTAACTGATGGAAAAAGGGAAGTTGAAATTGACACTTTTTGTGTTGAGTGGTAACATAAACGTGAAAAGGGTGCTAATCACTCAATAAATATGTAAGTAAGTGCACTTTCTGCACCAGACCACAGTACAAGTCAGCACTTTCTGTAGTGCATCACCAATGTTTTTTGTTCTGATAAAATCCTACTCTGGGGTTTATTTTGGTTGTGGTCTGATGAAGACAATGAAAATTCCCTTCCCCAACTGTTACGTCAAGCAGTCTTTATAGCATGAAAGTCTATTAACTGTGTTAAAATATATTAGTTCACAGTATACACTGCAATGTAATGAAGCAGTGGAGTTTTACTGGAGACGTTGGTATTGTTCATCCTTAAGTCAAATAAACTAAAGGACAGCCTGGCCCTGGAAATAAAGACTTTGCTTCTTGGAAGCTTAGAGCTGTCCATAAAGGTTAAAAGATACCCCTGGACAACCAAGATAATGCCAGCATCCTAGCCCCTCCAACACATCTTTGAAACCCGCCCAGCATCATAGGTAAGTAGCTGTTGCAAGACTGACTCCAGGGATGTCTGGATCAACAGGCAAGCGGCAAGAGCACTGCAGAAATATAGTTGCTCTGCAAAGTTTTACTATGACTAGTAATCGGTGGTGTGGGTGTTAGTCAAATCATGCTATAGTTGAATGCTTGAAGGGTATAAGGACCCTGTGTAAAACCACATTTGGGGTAGCCCAATTTGGCTGGGACACCTCATGCGCATGAATAAATATTTACCCTTGTAATTCTATACTTTGTGTTCTAGCCTCTCTCGTCGGTCAGCACGGGCCAGTTGCAAGTTTTCCTAACACCCCCAAAAATCAGGTAGTAAGCCCTGCATATCCATGATTACACGTACTCACTGGGTTCATAAACTCATGAAAAGCCAAAAAGCACATTCTTTTTTAAGAGACTGGCTAACAGTTTAAATAAAACCCTTACTCCATATCTCTTTCTACTGCTGTGCCAAGCCTCACCTACAGTGCCAGCCTGAGCTCCCCTTGGGCCACACTCACATTCTGATGCAAGTGCTGTGTTCCCTCAAACTTTTTAATCAGTTGCAATTAAGTCCTCGCACGCACAGGTGAAACTAGCAACGCTGGCCGACATACCGCTAGCCCCTCGTAACACTCAGCTGTCTCCCGCACAGACGCCAACAGACCCTCCGCACACCACAAGCGACTGCAGAGCTACGTTCAGGCTCCTGGCCAGGAGACAAAGGCCCTTTGCCACAGGGAAGGCAATCTGAGTGCAATTAGTTGCTCTTCACCAGGCATTTCTTTATCCTTACATCCAGCGGCTCTTGTACCGCTCTTTGAAACCAAACGGTCTGGAAGTAATCCTGTCCGCAAGCACTGCGGCAGACGGGCCGGACCTTCCCAGCGAGGGGGCCACATCCAGCCTCCGCCCCGCGCCAGCCGCCCCCAAGCTGCCCGCTGCTCCTGCCGCAGGGCCCACCGCAGCCCCAAGCCCTTTGGACGAGACCTCCTCCTGCGGCGCAGGCCGGCGGGCACGAGGGGCGCCTGCTTTCTCTCCGGTGCCCTCCGCCCCGGCCTGCGCCTCCTCAGCACGGGGTGGGAAGGCACACGGGTCCCGCCGGATCTGCCCGAGGAGGGCCCGGCCACGTCCCGGTGCCCGATGCTGAGCCCGCTGGCAGGCTGCCCGCCTGCGAGGGCTGGGGCCGGAGCGAGGAGCCACCGGGCGCTGAGCTCCTCAGCGCTGGGCCCGGCGCCCCGTCCAGTCGCACCGTCCTGCCACAGCGAAGCTCCTCCGGCACAGACATGCTCCTGACAGCGTATTTCCATGCATTCTCTACGGTGTGTCTAAATATTTTGATGGTTTTAATATTTTGTGCCAGCCATGGAAACTGGTTTGCTGCGAGGTGACTGTAAAAGTGAGATTTGGTAAATAATTATTAGAAACCTTATACTAACACTATGATTGAAACAACAGACAAAAGTATAGCCAAGCAATTAACTAGTAGAGGTAGTTACTCATACGTTTTGCAGTTCTTTGCTCTTATGGCTAGATGTTCCCGTATGCTAGGTGAGAGCAATGTTGAAACTGACCACGTGTGATTGAAACTGCGTTAAGCTTCAAGATCAAAGAACAAGGACAAGAATAAAGACTTCAAGCACAGCCAACAAGAACTTCAAATGGGTCGGTGGTCGCAAAAGCAGCCCTTCGACTCAAGTGAATCCTTCATTGCGCATGATCGGATGTAGGCAGTACTATGACAATCAGGATCATTTTTACGTGTATGTATACTAATCTGATTAATATGCAATTAGTTATTCTATATAACCTGTTTGTGCTAATGCTGTGGTATGCACGCTAGGTGGAACTATCCCCCGTGCATCCAGCGCTGCAATAAAGAATGCCTGCTTTCAAAAACTCCAAAATGAGTCTTAAGAGAGTTTCTTCGACCAGCTTTTCGGTATCACTCCCACAGTGAAACGTGTTTTGTGTCCCCATGCCCAGCTACTGCAAACACCAAGTGCCTCAGCAGATACTTCTGCGGTTTTGGATTCTCACAAACACGCTGATTGAAGACTTGAAAAATAGAAGTTAAAGCTGCAAGTAACACCAATGGAGAGACAGCTAGGGACGGAGATTCATCCTCCAAACACACAGATACATTTGAAGAGTGACACTAGAAAGCCTAAGCAAGGGGTAACTGTTACTTAGCAAAAACCCGCTCATTTCCCAGTGCTTCTGGGTGTTCTCAGCATAAGAAGGCCAAAGAAATAGGCAGGTTGAATGAAGAAACCTGTACTGGTGAAACAGGGACAAGAAATATAATCTGAGTGAGATATAATTACAGGCAAAAAGAAAGGAAGTACTTATGTGTGGAAATAAAAATAAGAGATAGGAACTTGGGATCATAGTCAGTTGCTGTGAGAACAAAGGCAACCAGGACCGCAAATGTTTAAGAACACCTCCACTTCTTTTTCTGATAGCTTCCCAGCAGACTCTTCCTTCACATGACAGGACATGAGCTTGTATGGAGCACAACAAGATTTACAGAAAGTCTGCAGGACATTAAATAAACTGCAAGAGCAGCAAATTATTTCAGTACATAAAGGCACCTCCACGACAAGCAAGAGCTGCAGAAGGGCCAATGTGGACAAGTGTTCTGTCGATTCCATACCTAGAAGCACATACAAACAAGCTTCTGTTTTCACCTAATTACAGATTACTTAGCCATGAAAACAGCAGCAAGAAAAGCACATGAGGAAGTCTGCACAGAAATCCTGTGGAAGGAAGCAAGAACTCACTTCGGTTTCAGGTGTTGCATATATTCCCCTCAGTGCCTCTGAGCTTGCACGTGTTGTTGAGGTCAAACTAGGAGCAAAAGAAGATAACGTCAAAACCCTCGGCATAAGTATAAGCCCAACAGGATGATTTTTCAACACCACAACAAACATAGTCTATTCCCATGTCTAAGCTAAGCATTTGCCTGGATATAGGCATATATCAAGCACTAAGCATGTGAAACATTTGTTCTGCACAAGTATAAACCAGCCTGACAGCCAGCTACTGGCCAACTCAGGCTGAATCATGAGCTTAAAAGTAGGTCACTCCTGAAAGGTGGTGAATTCATCACCATCAACAGCAGCAAAGAGCTAAGCGCTCCAATTTGCAATTCAGAAGAGATCTCCCCTGCTGTGCACAACCAATGCTTTTATATTAACTTCACAGCCATCACTTAGACTCAGCATTTCTGCAAAGGCTTTGCCAGTGAAATTACACCAACCGCTATTGTCAGTGTACCAGTTGCTGGAAATCACTTTCTTGCATGACTGCAGTCGTCTGGGGGGGAATCCTGCCTGTTTTCTTCTGATTAGAATAATTTCTTGCCCAGTCTTCCCCTTTCAGGATGTGTAATGCAAACTTCCCATTACCCGCTGGGAGATGTGTGTTAATGCTTTGCTGTACACACTGAGCCTTAGTAAGCAATACTTGAAAACATTCCCCTTGAAGGCCTTTCTACCCCGCTACATGGTGCACTTCCCCTGCAGGCTATGTGAAGCTTGTCTGCATTCCCAAAACACCTTCCTGGTGCACTGAAAACACTGTTCTAATGTGAACTAGATCCATGACACATGATATTCATACATTTGATACCAGAATTATATGGAACACATATCCATATTTGATAGCAGAAGAGTAGCTGTGCTGCCTCTTCAGAAAATCTCTCATTTTCACTTCAAAATTATGATGGAGTTTCACTATGTGAATTTTGAAGTGGACTGATTCAGAAGTAGAACCTGCTCAAAAATGTGCAGCACACAGGCAGTGCTGTCTCCTGGCAACCTGCACAGCCAAAACAACACCTCTCAATCATCAGCAACTCACCCCCCTGCCCTGTCCCAGAGCATGACTTAATTTATTGATGTAGGCTGCAATAATACAAGGTGAGCATCACAAATACATAGGCACAGACTTTTTTAGAGCAGGAGATCACTGGCAAATCCTGATGGCAGTACTGTGCTCATTGCTTGTTCAAAGGAAGCCCTAAACCCTCCCAGTTTTGTTTGTTTTAAAGACCCTCGAAGAACAGTCACAGCCTCTGCCAGGAGGCTACAGAAATTTCAGATACTTTTTTTAGATGGACATAACTGCATAGAGTTTTTCTTATAGAAAGAGTAAATACAGAATCAAAGCACCCTGAGACTGTTTGGGATCATGCACAGCTGGAAATGCCTTCCCCTCCACCTCTAGATGTAAATTGCTCCATCTGGTTTTAATGAAATATATTGGTTTCAAAAGTTGTATTATCTTGTTGAACATTTTTGGCTAAAACATCTAACCATTCTGAAACTGAGGAGAATGTGAACCTTTCAGCTCAGTTCTATGCTACTTCTCCCCATTACTTTGTCTGCATGAGACCTGCTATAAGCCTTCACTAATTGGACCATAACATTGCATTTACAGTGAGGTAACTGCAAACCCCCAGACTTACCAAGAATATAAAATGCAGCCAAACAAAATGGTAGTACCCAGGCCAGTAACCAGGTTTTCATCTCTGTGCAGGCCTTGACTAAATTCAGGTACACAGATTGTGATGTTCTGATTGTTTTCATCCAGGACTTCACAAAACAAAACAAAAAGAGCAGTTAGCAAAGCTCATTTCACTATATTTCAAAGCAGTCTTCAGATTGAAGGCTTTCAGCGAAATATTTTTATTACTTCAGACACTGGGTAGGTACATTTCAGTTGTTTCTATCTATCTTTTAAAAAGATCATACAGAAAAAATTCTGTAAATCTGACCTGGCAGATTCTGTGTTTCAGGCAAAACAAAAATGCAACTTAGCAGAGTACTAAAATTTCTTGTTTGACAAGAGCAGACAAACAAGGAAAGAGACTGTTTGGTGAACTAAGAAATAAGAAGTTGGAAGTTTACCAACACTTCACCCAAGACTACAGAGTCATATAAGACTGAGATAGTACAGACCTGACACCATAAATTTCTTTGACAGCAGGGGTGCCTGGAGGACAACTATGAAATTCATACTCAGTGAAAAACAGGTGGTGTGTAGTTGCCCTGTTCTCAGGCTGATACGTAGAAGACGAAAGAAAAGGAGATGCACCAGTTACAGGCAAGATTTTATCTTAACGTCTAAGCAAATGCTACTTCTAGGTCCTTGAAATGAAACCAATTCAGTTCTTGAGATACCTCTGGCTTTTTGGTGTCTGCTTGGCGTCAAGGCAAGGCAGACTAGTAGCACGCAGCATCACCCTAAAGCAAGAGATTACAGCTGCACCTTATCTCAAATCAAGAGCTTTTTGAGCCAATACTGTTTAAGACAAACTGTGTTCATATCTCCTCTTTCCTTCCAGCAGCCACACTGCATCCCCATTAGGACAGCACAACTGTTTGCAGGGGCAGAGGGCAAAATGCACCAAAGGCTACAACCTGGGTTAAAAATAAACTCAAAGTCAGTCCCCTGACCTGGCGGGGAAGGACTTTGCATGGTCCTGCAGGGCTGCACAAACAGCAGCACACAGCAGGGACAGCGTGGAGGTGGGAGCAAAAGAAGGGATGACAAGCTTTATAGAACACCCTGGCCAGAGATGTGCAGAATCCCCCACCTACATCCATCAGGTACACTTCTGCAGCAAGATAGGCCCACTGTTTGGCAGGCCTTTTTGCTAAGTCTGGCACCAAAAAGCTAAGGCACACTGATAAGCACAGGTTCAACAGACATTAGCTTTTGTTTGCCAGTTCCTTCTAAAAACATTTGCAACCCTGCTTTTTGAGTGTTGCAAATAAATACTTGCAGCTTACATTTTCTTCAGGCCTGGTTTGCAAGGTGGCCAATTTGTGAGATGGCCAATTTGAAAGTCCCTCCCTGAGTAATGAGTCAACATTAGGTAAGTTCATGGCAAATCTGAGTCACAGGGCATGGGACACCTTAGTAAGTGCCAGTACCCCATACATTCTCCAGCATGTGCCACTGTAAAAGCTGCACAGGCCAGTATGAGAGTCCTCATCACACAGACAGTGGAGAAAGGAGCATCTCTGAGAGTAGATGACAACCATGAGAGTTCTCTGGCCTGGGAAGACAAGGAGGAACATCTGATTCAGGAGGCCTGAGGGACTGTGCTTCATGCGTACTCTGACAAATGCAATAACCACACTTACAATACATACCAGAAGAATCAGACCATTCACTTAACTGCTGAAGGCTTTGACTGTCACAGGCATGAAATAACACAAGGCCAATGATCAAACACTGTACATCACTTTCTTCCCCTTTTTTCTTCTTTTTTTTTTTACACGGTGTCAAGTCTTATGAGTCATTCAGATGCCTTTTAAATTAACTTCTATATTCATTCAAAAACACTGCTTAAGCTCCGTAAGTAAATCTTCCACCTAAATACTGTTTTTCTTTCTTAGCATTAGAATATATATGTGTGTGTGCCTGTGCCTACACAAGTGTGACAGGGTCCTTCCTCCATCTCTCCCCTTTCTTCTTGGGAGGTGTCTGTAAAAACTTCTCCTTCCTGCCAACGGACTTACTTTCCTCTAGTTATCATTATTTCAACTATTTAGCACTAAAAGTTGAGCAATAATAAAGACAGGGGTTTTAGCATTATTAATTTGAATCAGAAAAGTCTTCTTTAAGTGAAAAGAATGCTCCCTGTCCAAATAGGTGAATCTGATGGTTACCTGGGAAAAGGAAATAGTTTGAGTTGTGCTTGTGAAGCCTTGCTGGGTTTTTGTAGCATAAAGAACTTAGAAACTCTAGGGAGTTCCCTACTCCTGGCTTGCAGTGCCGATGGTCAGAAGGGAAGTGCAGTACAGGAACTCTGCTGAAAAACAGCATCATCTCAAACACCTGCAGTATAACTCCAAGTCCCTTCTCAGAATGTTTCCTCTCAAAATGAAAGACGAGCGGTACTCAAGTTTTTGCTCCATTAGAAGTCCAGAACTAAGGCTACCTAGCATACTAATTCTAGGAGAAAAGAAGGGATTTTAGTATCCACTCTCATGGCCAGCACCTACTAACTGGTGGTGGACCTAGTAGACTTTTGGATGGAGCTGATCACCCAGCTGCTTCCAGAGGCATCCAAGAGCCATTTGTTCCAACTCCTTTCCAATCACATGACCAAACACATCATGTATTCAGTCATGTCCTATCATATGAGAACATGTGCTTGCCACATGAGGAACAGGTTACAAGACTCTGGGAAATTTGTCTGTAGGAAACAGACTGGAATTGCTCTGGTGCAACATACGCAACTCACCCAAGGTAAATTAAGCTCCCCTAGACCAAAGCGTTTAAGATAAATGGAGAGTGCCAATTGCATGGTCTCTCTCCTGTACAGATTTATTTTTAGTATTTGCGATTTCTTCTGCATAGAAGAAACCAAACCCAGCACTCCTATCTCTCTGAATTTGTTCAGTCAGGTTTGCTAAATTCTTGCTTTTAATACATGGCATGTCTAAAAGAATTTACATAAAGCATCAGATAACTTACTAGTTTCTGGTGGCTTGCTGGATAGTGCTGAGAAAGTGAGGTACATGACGTAGCAGCTGATAACTCCTGACTGCAGCAAACCAGAATGGGGCTGGCCTTTACAATAAAGAGGAAAATAAGTGATTTTTGCAGACATTTTAACAAATTGAAAAAGAAATTCATACCCTTTAAAGAACAGTACACTAGTATCTTTCAGAAGAGAACAGTACCTTTTATGTTTTACTTAAAGCAGTTCATAAGTTTTTGAGGCAGTTTAGATACATTTCCACTGGCATGTAAAGAGAAAAGAGCCTGTCCTTTAGTTCTGGTGGCTGTTTTAGAAAGGCATTAAAGATTCCCACATAAGTAAAGAATCACCCCTCTGCTTTCACCAAAAGCACCAGCTTTCCAAAAGCTACTGACAAGCTGCCATGATGGTTTTATTTGCCTGTAAAATTTGTGTTGGAGTCACTCAAATTACTATTTCCAGGTCCAATGTATGCAAGATACTAACAGCACACATAAAATATACTGAAGCATGAAATACTACTGTCAACTCCTCCAGGTCCAAACTTTACAGATAGTAAATCACAAGCAGTCAAAAGTAAATGGTAGAACAGTGGTGAATGAGCTCGACAGCCATCACCTCAACTGCTACCACGGCAAGAGCTGTCTAGGCTCCACAACACATTACCAGCCATCAGCATGTGAGCCTTGTTTACACTATGACTGCCTGATGGCACACCCAAGATGTCTCACACCTCTGTAGTTTTAGCAGCTGAGCTGATGACCAGCGATAGCACTTCATAGTGTAGATAAAGGACAGGCGCAAGAGCAGCACCAGCTCTGAGCTATCATGAGACTTTCTGCCCAGAACACGGCTCATGCCTCCAGGCACACAACTGTGGCAGCATCCAGAAACCCAGGAGAAGAAGAGGTCAGCAGACTCACGATTCTGGACACAGGGCGATATGGCCACCAGTGACACAAAGAGGCACAGGCCACCGTTAACACCGATCAGGACTTTGTTGTACATGCAGCCCTCTGAGCGTGTGTAGAAAAGAGCCATGAGGATGAGGGCTGCCACAGCCACGGAGTACAAGATGAGAGTGACCAGGGCAAGTAAACCATTCCACATCTGCTTGTGGTTTGCACCTGCAGTCCTGGGGAAAGAGAGACAAGCACCTTATCTTTGTCTTCCCTTCCCAGAGACAAAAAATTCTAATAGCTGAATAGTTCATATCCTCAAACACAAAACACAGTGCTTACTCTGCTGAAGCATGTGTACATCACTACACCAACACAGGCCCTTACAAAGTTCCTCTCGTGAAACAGAGGGGAACGTTCCTTAGCATTAATCTTCTGTGTTATCATGCCCAGCTGTTTCTGTAATTATAGCCCAGCGTGACTCCTAGGACTCCCAATCTCTGGGATCAGCCTGTCAGCGCATCTCAGCTCAATACTTCAGGGATTTCCTCAGCAGGAACTCAGTGTGCCCCAGACTCAGCTAGCAAGCGGTGCTCTTCACACAAGGACAGCAAAGGCATATTGCTTGATGTGCCTCTCTTCTGCCTCTTGCGCTACCCTGACAGTTTTACTACCCTTTCGCTTAAAAAGCCTTCTCTCCATTTGGGTTTATCCCACCAGTCTCCCTCAACTGAAGTGTGGTCCATCTTGGTTTTTTTTTCTTCACCTTCCAAACACCTCTTGCAAAGACCACTGTTTTTTTTAGGACTGGGAACTAAAAAAGTTGTTTTGGCACAAAAGGCTTTTTGGTACATAGAAGGTTTTGCAGGTTTTTGTTGTTGTTGTTGGTTTTGTTTTGTGGAAACAGCTTATTTTAAAAGAATATCTAATGTCAGAGAGTGCTAAAGTTAAACGCTGCTGCTGGAAATCTTTCATCCACAGAAAAGCAGCTACAGTAATTAGCAGTAAAAATATCTGTGGTATAAGGAGATCTCACCTATTCCTCCCTGAAAACAGCTATCTAGCAGAGCCCAAAGGTTTGCAAAACCTCTTCCTTAGTAGTCAGTATGCAAACTAGAACAAGAGAGGACTGCAAAGGTTTGTAGAAGAAGAAATGAGAGACAGAAAGGGTGGAGGTGGAGGCAGGAGTTCCTGCGTATATGTGGGAAGACAGTTTAAATATTTTAAATAGATGAGAGGCTAAGGGCTAGGAAGGTAATAGCAAATATGCTAAACCAGAAATTAAGTCAATGCCAAAATGGGGTATATGTGGATTGATAATGGAAATTGCATATTTAGATAAAAGCAAAGAAGTTGAAGAGAAAGGAGCAGTTCTTATGTCGAGAAAAAAAACTGATGTGCATTAAGCTGACACAAAAAAGCACGACACAAAAAAACTGCACACAGTTTCACTATTACATTTTGCAAATCCAGTTTTATTCTCTTGCAGCACTCTGTTTCTTAGCAGGTATATTTTCATATAAAATATAAAACAACTTAAAGTAAGAGGTTCTTGCATCCCAACATGCTACTAATTGGAAGCCAAGCAATACAGGTTAAGACTAAATCAGCAGAGTAGAAGTGGATAAGGAGGAAACATGTCCGCTGGGGAAGGAGAAAGTGGATGAAGCAAAGATGAACAGCTCTAAATATTGAGAGTAAAGTGTCTTATTTCAGAAATTACATCCATGCTACTTTTAAATTCTTTGTTGCGAGAAATGTATTGTTCAGGAGTCCACCAGAATTTTATGCAAATACTACTTGCTCAACACATACCAATTTTTATTCCATTTGTGTGCGAACTCAACAAGCAGGATGAGCTGAATGGCAATGAAAAGGAAACCTCCTGTTGCTCCTACGTAGCGCCAGGCTGCAAGGCAGAGAGGCAGAAAATAGGTCAAACTGCAGTTGCCTTTCCTTTGAGATAAAATGGAATTATTGTCTATGCAGTGAAGCCATTAACGCGGTCTGAATATCTCAAGCCCACAGATGCAGCAAGAGATGAGAGGTTTCAGCTTAAAGGCCAGCTCAGTTAACTCAAGATTAGCTCTTTGATGAATTCAGTTTGCAACCTGCTACATTTTCAAAATAAGCGTGTTAGGACATTTACTGAATTTCCCTAACCTAGAGAAATTTTGTGGAGACTATGAGTTACTATGTTCTGACAGAAAATACTGAAACCTTTATTGTCACTGGCAGGAGGGAGGTGGTGTGAAGGCATTTCACAGCAATCTAAACCCTGAAATTGCAAGGTACTGGAACCCAGTACTAAAAAGGGCAATTTCTTCCCTTCCAGGTTCCAGTACCACAGAAAAACAAAGGTGGAGCTTATCTATTTACAAATGCTGTCCTGAGCCACTCCCAAAGAGACGGGAACAGTTGGTATTTACTGACTAGTTTTAAGACAGGTTATTTGACTACTTAACCATTGACCTACATATACTGTATTTAGGTAGCTGTTTGGATACTTTGCACAACAGATCTCTTATGTGCAACATCAGAAATCTCTGAGGAAATACAGATACCTATTTAAATGTTTAGCTGCATATACAGCTTGTGCTGCTGTGCAGAGCCTATAAATGACTCCAGGTGTGCAGCTGATTTCAGTGAAGACAACCAAGCAAGTGCATTAGCAAAGTTACACCGTATCCTACCATTGTGTTTTCCTTTTGAAAACTGCTTGCATAAGTGAAGTGGAAAAACAGAACAGTCAGGGCACGTTACCCTTAGCGGATGATGTAGAGGGGTTTTTTTACTGTATCATAAGCTCATTATTTGAATGCAAGAAAAAATGCCATTTGTTTGGTTTTGCTGAACGTATTGTATGCACTCAATAAGCATGCTGTTCTTCAAACAAAAACAAAAAATGGAAGAAGCTAGCATGTAGAAAAGTACATACAAAGTAGGCAGGGAACAAGGTGTGCATATGTTTTTGGGAGAGGTAGAGTAGGAAAAAGCAGACCACCAATGGAGTGAGTAATTAAATAGCCAGACTCTCAGTATCTTCCACTGCCACAGGCAGGACACTGCAGGATGTTTTACGGATCCATCATAGATAAGGTTAGCATGGCCAGTGTGGATTTAACACTATAGCCCACACAAACCTAGTGCTTGCACGTAATACTCCTCCATGATTAACAAACTGCTAAGCATGGGAAGCGTGACAGGATCTTTTTTTTTTTTTTTTTTAAATAATAAGCAAACTGGGAAAATGCTTACAAAAAAAAAAACAGAATTAAGTTTCTTGATGGGAGGGAAAAAAAAGGAAAAACAAAACCACACAACATCCAAACCATCTGTAAATCTCAAATTCAGGGGTTGACTGGAGGACAGTTTAGCAGGATGTGCAGAATACACCTTCAGAGAGAAAAGTCAAAAGCTAATTTGGGGAAGAAAGCTTGTTATGCTGTATGTCCACACTAGGTCAGCCTGCTGTTGAGAAACAGCACCCTAATCAGCACAAAAAATTGTTTCCTCTTTCCCTAAACACGTCAGTTCGCAATGACTTTTCACCATGAACAGGGTCGTTCGCAAAGATGATGGGCAGTCTCGCTTGCTCCTGCCGCTACATCTTTCTAATCCAAACAGTGATTAGATACTAAGGACAAGCACATACAGCCATCCTGTGACTTTGCAGAGCAGAGGAATAAGGATAAGGAGCCCTTCACTTCTGGGGCATCAAACTGAACCAGGACCAAACAAACAGCTAGTAAGAGCAAGAAGCTGAATTACACTGTTGTGGTTTACTTGAAGTAGTTTTTACCTTAGTTTCCCAGAGCACTGTGCTCATAGTATGTCTGCCCACTCTATTCTCTTCCCCCGTGTTACTCTTTTCTGCTTTTAAACACCCTGGCTAGAGAAGATCAGTGTTGAAAACACAGGCAACCGAGCAAGCCTTAGTGGAAGCAGGCAGCAGACACAACTGCTCCTTTGCACTACTGATCCCATCCCCTTCCACTTGCCCAGACGCAACAGCTTAAGGGCTTACAAGCACCTGGCAAACTGAAGAGCAGAAACTCATCTCAGCATCACCAGGATTTTTGCTCCTAGCCCACAAGAGGCCTGAGAGAAGCCCCACTGCCCCGAGCTGGCATTTAAGCACTGGGCCAGTACCAGTATGCCTGTGCGGTGCCAGGGCATCTTCCAAAACTGGAAATGCTTCAGGCACAGCATCCTCAGCAGAGCACTCTCAACACGGTCCAAGAAGTCTACTATTTTACCTCACTGCATTTACGACACCAGCCTGAAAACTAACAACATCCCAAATTCTTTTGCAGCATTGCAATTTCCAGGCAGCAAACGCCAGCGCCTGGCCGGTCACTGTGCCCCCTTGAGCACTGGCACCTCTCCACTGTGCAGCACGGACCCTGGCTGCTGCACTATGGCAGAGCGACCTCCACAAGCCAAACTAACATGTGGCCCTGCGTTCTTGAGTGAACAATTTCTTGTGCATCATTATAGCTTCCTGCTTCTTAAAGAATTTGCAAGACAGCACCACAGTGGTATTTTTACCTACCCATTTGGCCTGCTCTTGATCAGAAAAAAACATGCTCTTTACTGCGTATTCACATACACCCTGTGCACACAGAGCTCCCCCCAGACAGCTCCAAATATTCCTTTTGCACCTGGACTATACTGCCTTTACTTCAAGAAATATGGCAATATTCACTTTGATTAGACCTTTAGGATTTATAACCACTCACAAGGTAGTATAGAATGAAGCAGCATAACAAAACAAGAAGGACATACCATTGAGGAAAGTGTCCTGATCAGGAATGAAGAAGGCTCCTGAGCACATCGCTGCCAGAAGTAGAAGTTTAACAAGCCAGAATCTGGACAAGAGGAAAAAAAAAAATCATCTGGTTCTAATAGGTGTTAGAGGTCTTCAACTAAAGTACCATGAGAAATCTCTATTTAAAGCCCAACAAGAGAAAAAACAGCCTTTGATGACTGATTGCCACTTCAGTTAGTTTTCACTTGACTGCATTATTTCTGACTAAAGCAGTAAAGTCAACTTTTGTTTTGGGTTTTATTTTGCCTAGAACTACACCCAACTGCAAAGTAGGCAGCGCAAACCTGTAAAGAGAAGTGGAAATTAAGCAATCAAACAAATACTCACCCATTATGAATGTATGCTCGGCAGCTTTTGCTGCTCTTAATTTTGATGGTGAACAAGAAGAACAAAAAGAAGAAACAGGCCATTCCAAAACAGACTTTGTACACTGCAGAGTATCCCACCAACTTCTCGCACATCTCACCCGCCTGAAGACCCTTGCACATTTGCTTGTAGAAGGGTATCTGAAAAGCACAACAAGCCATTAGATAGGACACAGTGCACCTTGTAACCAAGCATGTCTACGTCTATCCACCACTGACTTTTCACTGGCTTCATTTAACACGTTTCACTCTTGATACGCCTCAGCCTGGATTTAAGGGTTCAGGGGACATAAAGAAATGTAAAACACAAGGGACTGGAGTTTTCCAGAGCCTCCACTCTCAATTCCTTCCAGATGCTTTGGGGTACAAGTCCACCTACCTTTCCTTCAGCTCGGTTGGCTTACTGCCAATTATGGCTTATCCCCTCACCCTGGGGACCCTCTCCCTTCTTCCCACCCTTTACAGCAAAAGACTTTGATTGCTTCAGTAATCCAGCTTACATGAACCATATCAGTGGTTTTACCAGCCGAAGGGGCATGAATGGGGCTGCAGGGTACAAAGTTCTGGCTCGTGCTGCCCTCCGTGGAAACGTAGACCATATCACACCCAAGCAGCACAGGGCCAGCAAGCTCTCTCCTCTCCACCACAGCCTCTGAAAGGGAGTTGTGCCAGTTGCCCTGATTTTGTTTTAAATTAACAGAGAGGCAGGAAAATTCCACCTTTCTTTTGACTCATTAAATATTTGCCTTTGAGGCCTTGCTCTCGCCGCAAAGGGAAAGCAAACAGCTGCACATTTTGGCTTCAGTTTCACCAGGCTGACGTGATGCTGGGCAGTCAGAAAAGCAGGTCTATGTAGCCAGGACCCACTCCTGTGGGGTGCCTCTGTGCAGACACCCCCCCTTGCAGCCAGGGAACCATTCAGCTGTGCAGAAATACAGGCATTTAATTAGAAAACCATCGTTCATTTCAAAGAAAGAAGGGCCTCTCTGTACACTCACAGCCCTCAGCGGAGGCTGGTGAGACCAGTTGAGCAACACATCAAACCCTCTGGAGGTGATCACTGCTGCCTGCACAGGTGACTGGAGGAGAAAGACGATAGTGTGTGCCAGGACACAACATGCACAAATAAATAACTTGGGCAAAGGAAATGGGAATCAGACTTCAGAAAACATTCAGCCAGGCCAGATTTTGCTTAGGAAAAATATACAGAGATTGTAGGCAACACCATCCTCGAACATTTCCAAGAAATTAGCAAAGATCTCTCCTTCCTTTGGCAGGCAGGTCAGTACACAAAACCAGGGCAGGGAAAGAACAAACAGGACCCAAGAGCAAGCAATCAGTCAGCGCTCTCAGCTGAGTAGAAAGCCATCTGAGATGCAGGAAACAAGGGATAAACACGTAAACTGCCGGCTTCCCTCAGCAGGGTATGCAACTTCCCATCCCATGCCAGCAACCCAAACCAGTCATGAGCTCAAGAGCCCTCCTAGCAGTTTCCCCAAAACAGCAAATATTTTAGCAGCTCACAGCAATACTGAGTTGCTGTGCTAAGGGTAGTAAACCTAACTACAGTACAGAGCTGATCCTAGGTGGTCTAGAACCAGCCGAGGAGATGAAAAGCAGGTCTCAACACAGCTGTGTGGTGTTAGAAGAATGGATTCAAGCTGAGCCACTCTGAGATGCATTTTCAGAAGTAACTCATGGATCAGTAACCACTTCATAAGAAGCTGGACAGTAAATGAGCAGGTGTGGCTAACTCACATCCAAGAGTTTTTAGAGACCTCCTGAGAAATTGTCTAGAGCACCAGCAATGCCCTTCCCAGGTCTTGAAAGGCAATGAAACGTCAGACTGGGCAAACATGCCAGCATTCAAAAGCAAAGGGATTGACTGGAATAATTAAGAGACTTATCCATGCCCCAGTGATGCCAGGGCAAGCCAAGGGGCCACAGCAATGCCAGGGAAAGCAACTGGGCTATCAATTAATGCCTTCCAGTTCTTTGCTTATAACAACCATCAGTCAGCAGAGATTAAAAAGATACATAATATTGAACTAACAATATTTCTGAGAAAATTAGGTATTTGTTTGATATAGATGATATGACTGACCAAGAGGATGGATTTCTGTAAGATCTGCACTTGATACCAAGCAGCATTTTGCTTATGAGACTTAGAGAAACTAAAAAATAGCTGGAACTTGGTTAATTGACTAGCTAATTAAAAACAGATCTCTGGGTAATTGCAAATAGGCATCTTCTTTAATCGCATAGGTTTCTACAGAGATCTTGATGGGATTTTTGACCCATTCTCTGTGTTCTTTTCTCCATTTAGTAGTAATTTCCTTACAGATCTGGCTGAGAGAAAATGGATGGATTCACAAGAACAATAGCTCAGTTTGTGCCTATACAAACAACAAAGAGCTCAGCCCTCATGTAGTATGCACAACACTATGCAGTAATAAGTGATGGCCACAGGAATAGTCCTGTGGGCTTGAACGCCCTTTTTGGAGACCCATGATCCTGAAGGAAAAAAACAAGAATAAAACCAAACTCTTGGGGACCCCGGCAGATAAAAAACGTGAGCACAATGTTGGGGACAAAAGAGCTGATGTAATCAAAAGGCCACGTTTTCCTGAGAGGATGGTCTACTGCTGGAAACAATTTATCAAGGCTTATGTGACTTCTTCACTGAAAGTTAAAAAAGGACTAATTTTTTTTTTTAATTCTGTATCTCCGAAACATGTTCAGCTGCTGAGCAGCCTGCCCAGCCTATTTAATTTACCAGGCTTTCCACTTGCTGCATAGTTTTGCCAGCTGTTACAAGTCACAGATTAGTTATTTGCCAAGTCTGATACGGTGAAATATCTACTTTTATACCTTTAAAAGCAACATAAGCTAAATTCTTTGGCCTCTGAGTAGGGGACAAAGCATTCTTGCTGCAGAAACTCAGGATCCGCTCAGATAACCTAAACGCCTTGGCTGCTGTGCAAGCAATGATGTTATCACAGCGAAGTCAGCAATTTTCCAAGTACGGTGAAACCCTTTGAGATGATAGCAACATCTACAGAAACAGGGACAGACTGCCCTGAACTTGCTTTCCCCTGACTGCAAGCTGCTGGCGCCCAAAATAAAAGCAGTGCAAGAAGCAAGCCAACATGGCCACACTGCGTCCAGGCTCCAGTTGGCTGGGGCTTGGACACCTCCGAGCTGGGGTCTGTCTGCACCCAAACATGTGAATGCAGAAGTGCAGGAAATAGCATCAGAGGAGGAATAGGAAGGAAAATGTGTGTGGAAATGGGCCTGAAGAGCCCGAAGGAGACTGCTTTCATCTGGATGTCCTCATCTAACAGAGGGAGAATGTGGCAGATGAACTTTGTTATGGAAATGGAGGAAGCATGAAAGAAAATCTGTGTAGGTGGGGAGACAAGGGCAAAAAACCAGGTAAAACTGCCTGTCTTGAGCAGCTGAGAAATGGAATAGAAAAACAAAAAACACTCAGACCAAAACACATGCCATATTGTACCTATGGCTAAGTTCTTATCAGAAATAGGCAATGGGAATCTGTACTTTAAAAACTCTTTTTTGGTAGCAAATTTGGTTTTCAATGTACTATAATGCAGTTAAGGGCCAAGATACAGACCTGGCTGGGGAAACAAGCCTGAAAGCATGCTCTGCCAGAACATGTAACCATCTAGAACCAAAATGCTTTGACACAACTGAACTGGTTTTTACTGGTGTTCGTTTTCTTTCTTATTTTTCCTTTCATTATTTAAGTAGGACATGGATATTTTCAGGGTGAAACCACTAGTTTTGAAACAGCTTTAAATTTAAAAATTTAGTAAAAAAAAAAAATCAAAACACTATTTTGACAGACCAAAACAATTCTCTCCCTTTTCTTCCCTCAATTATCCTTTCAAAGCCTGTGAAATGCAACATGTTCAACAGAACATTTGTGAGTAAAGCTGTACCTGTTTTTCAAAAAAACAGAGTAACTGGAAAAAAGAAGTAATATATGGATCAAGGCGTAGAAGCACTTCTTCAAGTTGGGTCCTGCTTTGCTTCATTTTGGAACAGAGTCAAGTCTCTTTGTGTAACTGCTTATTGGTCTTTTCTGTCTTTCTGTCCCCATCACTGAGGCTCTCATGTATTGACTGATGCTCTAGCCCATCTTTTGCCTTGAAACACAACCTTGCTCCTCTGAAATCTATTCTACATGCTTCCATTCAAAATATTTTCCTGGTCAAAACCACCTACTCCTTCGCTACCCCTCCACTGCCTCTTGCTTCTTTCCCAGAGATCAAACACAAATGTCTTTGTTTCTTTGCACATTTTTCAGAATTTAACCCTTTGGGCCTCTCTCTCTCTTGATGCCCCATGGGCACAGGAACAGCTCAGGAGATGGGGAAGAGTGAAAGCAACAGAGAAAAAAATCCCCCTCAAAAGACACCATTCAACTCTTAAGGCTCACCACAAAATATGGTGTCCTCAAAATGCTGCTGGTTAGATTAGGAACCAAGGTTTTGCAACCATAACCAAATACTCCACTGTGTCCTCCCACAGACACATGGTTTCATCTACCTGCCAACTTTGGTGAGGATGTGGAAGTTGAGCTCCCTGGGACAGTGCATCATTTTTCTAGCCATGTTGCAGGGCACAGAGCAGGTCCCCAACTCTGGGCTGCCACCTGCAGAGCCTGGCATCTCGGGAATGGAAAAACTGTCCTAAATGTGTTTTAATAGACAGAAGGCATGACCATGGGGGTAGATAAATACTGCAAAATAAATACAAACATTTTTAAAAGTCTCTGTTTAAGGTAGCCGTAAAAGATGTACATTTGCTGTTACTTCCTCTCAAAATAATGCCAAAGGACCAAGTGCTACAATAAATACATTTAGAACTACTTTAGACTTGGGAATTTATAGCCAATCAATCAAAAAAACTTCTCCCTGACAAGGGAGAGATGGCTTTCACGTAACATCAGCATGAGTATTTCAACTCTAAACTGGTAAAGCAGACACACGGTTCCCTGCCAAGATTATAGCTCCATAAAGGACTGCACTAAAATTTCAATTTTTTTTTTTAATACAAAAATTTAAAAATTCTTACTAAAATGAATTAAAATTCTGTCTCCTCTCAAGAAAGAGAGGGTGAGGTCCTAGAAGCACCATGCAAAGTATTTGCTTACAGTCTGGCTTCAGGAGCTAGAAATGCTCCATGATCCAGCCAAAAGCAAAGGAATCAGTAAGTGCCCAGCACTTTCAAAACACAGTTCATTACTGGGAAGCTGAGACTGGTTAGTCTGAATAAATATTTTCAAGGTGCACTCTATTACAACTGGGCTGAATTAGCTTCAAGAGTCTTTGAACTTTTAACAGCCCCGAACATAATTATTAAATTAGAGAGCAGATAAAGAAAGCCTACTTTCAGATGGTCCATTTCCTATTCAAAGACATCAAACGCTCTAAATCAAGAGGGCGATTATCTTTCCACTTCACACTAACAGCTACTCTTTGTGCCATTTCTTCCCACACTGAGCTTTCAAGACTATGAACTGGAAAAGAAATTTGGCAATACTGAAAAGCATGTTGTTGAAGGCTTCTTGAATCACTTTTCTGTTGGATAAAGAGCGAGTATTTTTTGTTAGGGATACAAGCTGCATTAAAACCACACTACTGATGGAAAACGACTTTATGAAATTTGGATATGAGCGTGTAATTTGTCTCCCACACACTTGAGTTGCTTGGGCTATTCACTTTATTGCCAAGCTAAGCATCTATTAAGTCAAAGTAATTCCTGGCAAGCAATTTCAGCACACACATGTTGAATAGTTTTTAACTTGCAGCTGACAGGCAAACATCATGTCTGCACTGGGTGCTCTTACAGGGTTGTCAGCAGCTCCTGGTGGCTGGGGGTAAGAAGGTGGCACTAGGATAACTCAAGCAAAGCACTATTATATGGAAGAAAACTAGAACAGAACATACAAAGAGCATACAATGGGAAGAGAGGTAGGTCACTAGCAGCAGCGCACATAAACCCTCAAACTAGCCCTGTCATAAGACCGCTGGTTCATCTGTGTTGCAGGCACAGGGTGCTACCACCAGCTTCTGGATCTGGGCTGCTGCGGAGGGAAGTGTTTCACAGACAAGTCAAGTGCGGAAGGTAAGCAGGGCATCAACTTGACCAGCAACTGGTTAAACGAGGGAACTGCCTTAACTGTGCACCCACTGGCACTCCCTCCTGGGAGGGTAACACAAAACAACTAGATGCCTGCAGCGAAAGAAGCCTTCTGAACCTCCAGGGCAAGCACAGCCACAATCTCGAAGCAGGCCCAATGCCAAGTTTGGTGCAGAAACTTAATTTTTAAGAATTAAGCAATCCAGACATTGTTCCCTCCACTTAAATACAGACTTCTCTCCTTGTAGTTTGTAGAGGGCAAGAAAGAGGATTTGTGCTACTCAGAGCAACTTGGGTGGCTTGAGAAACCAAACCAAAGATGTGGTACAACAGGTCTAGTGTGTGACCGCAAGCAGGCTGGTGAGCAATTAGCTTAGGAAAGTTATATTAAGACTCTGAAAGAAACTTGAGTCTTAAAATCTAGTTTTAGCCACTGCTTCTTTCATGCTTTTGAAGCTTTTTAATTAAAAAGACAATTAGAGATGAACAATATCTGCTGTGGTTAGAGGCCATGTGAACATGATGACTCAACACACCCTGAAGAAAACCCCTTGTAGAGGATCCCCAGTGCTATGCATTGCAGTAGTCTGTCACACAGCACCAAGAACACAGAATTAAAATTATAAATGCAGCATTTGAAGAGTTATTTTCTGACTTGCTGCTTCTGCTACTAAACAAGCTGCCAGAGATGAACTCAACGTCAGACTGAACCAATTTGTTCTACTATAACATGTTCCCTAACAGCCTCTAGTGACACTACCTGCACAGCAAACCTGGGATAGGTTCACTGCAGCAGGTTTCTGCACGATGAGAGGAGGAAGGCTGCTAGTCCTATGATCCTTGACTCTTCCTGTTCTGAAACACACTCGATGGGTGAGCAATTGACAGGAAGAGGCTGAGCATGGAAAATCATCCCATCCGGGTTTGGAAGTGGATGGGTGGAGGGAATTGACCGCCTCTTATGAGGGAGTACCCCTACACATAAAGAGCTGTGGAAGGAGCCCCATTTGCTTCCACGGGCAGCAGTGGGTTCATCTCTCTTACTTACGTGTGTTTTCATTTCGTTAGCTACTGTTGTTGACATCATGACACAACAGATGATAGTCACCAGGATGAAGTAGAGCGCATACATGAAGCGGGTGCTGGTTGACTGTTTTATCTTGGGGCAGCATTTGCAGCACAAGGAACAAGCGGCAGTACCACAGCAACAGGCCAACTGGAAAGTAAGACAAAAAACACAATGTCATTCCATCACCGCCTTCAGGTTTCCATTGCAAAAGTCAGACAGGGAAGCTGGGAGACTTCTTGTAAAACTCCAGAATTTCTTAAGTCCTCTCCTCCCAATTGAACAGTATTTAAACGGAAGAAGACTGTCTTGTTTATCAAAAGTAACTAGGTTTAAGCACATCAGTTTCTAGCTTTTCCACATGCTAAGGATGACAGTGTAGAGGATGAGGAGGAGCAGCTCCCACATTCTTAATCCTGCTTTTTGCTATCTCTGTGTAGCTCACGGTTCTGACATCTTTCACCCAGCAGAACAGGCACTGCAATGGTAAGGCTCTATTTCCTGTAATATACTCTCCCCTCTTCGTAGTGAAAAAACAGATCTGCACAAGAAGGGCACAGACTCCAAAATGGTTTGCTTTTTAATATACAGACAAAACTATTTTGTTTCTAAGACGAGCTGGAGTTTTTGTTTCAAACAAGCGGTACAGATCCACTTCAATTCACCAGAACCATACTGTCTTTTTTAAGGTGCCCTTTCTGGTACACATGCAGACTAAAAAGCTTTTTTTTTTCTAGAGAACTTTTTATACTACTAAAGAAAGACTTTGAGCAAATTAGAGGGGAGAGGGAAAACTGTTTTAAGACACACTTTGGGATAGTTGTGCTGAAGGCTTTATAAACAGACAACCACTACAAAAAACCCCAAACTCAAACCAACAAACAAAAAACTACATTAACAGTTCTAAATATTTTGGTCAGTAGAGAAAGAATCTGGAAGGAAATACTTGGCTTACTGCAAACAAAGCAGAAGATAGCTGAGCTTGAAGGACCCAAAATACAATGGCACCATCTTGTACTGAAGAAAGCCAAAGAAATGCAGCTTCACAGTTATTTAGACACACTTTGCAAAGGTGAAAGCGGTGATTCCCCGTGCAAGATGGCAAGGGAAAAAAACCACAGCTGCAAGGAAAATAATACCAGATCACGCTTCAGCTGATACCGTCTCCAATGTTTAAACATTATTAGAGACAGAATTCCTTGTGTATTTCAGTTCTTTTCTACCTGCAACTGAGGGTCCACCAAGATAAAAACCAAGCAGCACAGCAAAAAGCACATAACTGACTTATTCAACAGGAAAAAAGGTACTGAATAAATCCTGAAAGAGATCTAGCTTGATGCTCGTTATTTCTTTGCTGTCAACAGTATCATTAACTTTCAAAGAAGCTGGATTCCCCTTCCCTGCCTTCTACTTTTAGAAAAGTCATATCTAAAAATATAAACATAAGCCTTATTTTTATACATAAGGTAGCACTGTACTTGGCCAGGCCCTTCCTTGCCATAGGCAGCAGCTTCATATGGCTCCTGTGCTTAACCCAGCAGCTGCGACCACAGGAGAGATTTTTGGACATCAGCGGGCAGCCAGGAACACGGAACCTCTCTTCCAGGTCTCACTGCTGCCAGCCCAGAGCAACCTCACCCCTCAGCACTCCCATTTTCAAAGGGCTCCCTGCAGCTAGTGTGTGGCATAGGGGCAGTGCGCTGCCAGTGCCAGGGGCTCAAGCACACCAAAGCCGCTTTTTCCCAGTGTCTCCTCAGCCCTTGGAGCGGCCACGGGGATGTTCAGGAGCCCCCCCCTGATTTCTAGCAAGCAGGTGTACAAGACGAATGGCTTTTCTTGGCCCTTGCCAAGGGATTCAGAATGCAGAAGTGCCACATTTGAGTTGTCCAGGCAAACTTCTCTGGCTTGTATGTGTCTTCAGGTGCCAAACCATCACACACTGTCTTCCTCCCAGGACAATTCCTCTTCTGGCACCAACGACTGTCCAGCCTGGAGAAGGGGGTTTCACATGTGTGTCTGCAAACGCACATATCTGCTATAACTCCAGAGAGTCCCACAACCAGACTGGTTGATCAAAGGGCCCCAAATCATGTTGAAGAAGTGTCCTGAAAAGACTCCCAGCTTATCATCTCCTCGCCATGACTATCTGCTGCAACACCCCACAGAAAGAGGGTAGTGGACGGGCCCTTGCCTCGCTGGACAATGGCTCTTCAGCTTGCAGAAGACATGAAACTGGACAGTTCAACCCAGCTTCCATGCTGCCCTTCTCTCAGTTCACCGCTGGATCTCATGGCAGAGGAGACAGGGGCCTCAAAGCACACAGCTGCTAAAACTGCTGCTGCTGCAAAACAGAAATCCTCCCCAAAACACACAAAGCTCCAACTGTGGGGAATAAACAGAATGGGCTCATGTTGGCACCAAAGCTGGAAATTAAAAATACTATGTGCATAAGCACAGTGTGCAAGTAGACTTCCAAAATAGAAGGCAGTGGGGGCTGAATGGCAATTTTATTTTTTATATGTAGTGAAATTAACTTAACTTTTACAGCACCATTACAAGTCCAAGAAGTAAGGAAGCTATGGCAAGTTACCGATTCAGCAAACAAATGGAATAATAACATTTCAAAACAAAAACATACCAGAAAAGCATAATCCATCCACTTCAGAATTGTGGAAAAAAAAAAGATTAAGAGTAAAGGTCCTTTCAGTCTGTATCAGCCAGATCCAAGGTATCCACAATGAACCTCAACTGCTGGCCATACTCACCATAACATTAAAAGCTATAGTACAGAAGTAAAAAGGTATGCAGCTTTGGCATTTGTAAGGGGAACAACATTTTCCTAAGTCAGGTGCTGGAGAGCTCTGCCAGTGAGACCTCATCTACATCCAGCAACATGTTTGCCATTCCAGTCCTGGGTCCCTGGAGCTGCTATTTAAAGCAACAAATACTTAAATAAGACTATATAGCTCATTTATGCATTGTTCCACATTACTTAGAGAGACTTTAATGATAAGTTTCGAATACTGAGCAAGTACCCTATAAATAGGTGTTATCTGTGAAAAGTACCAGTGTCTCCATCTTTTTTCAGATGCACTCCTTTAAGCACTCTGAATAGCCATGGAAACCACTGAAAGTTGGTTAGTTTATTCAGACACGGTCCCAAATTTGGTGGATTTTTTTTCTGTTTTTTTTTTTCTTTTTTAAACTCTGGTTATGACTAACTACATTCCAGAGTGGGCTGCAATGAAATAGGTGTTATCCAAAAATAAATGAAAACAGTCTCTGTCCCAAAGAGTAAGAAGCTGGCCACAACCTACTGACCCGAGAGGTTTCAAAGATGTCTTTGGATGACAGACTTCAAAGACAACGTATACAACAAGTTCTCTGTTAAAAGGTTGTGGTCAACGTGCAGCTAAACTATGCAGTCCCTCCTGACGCTGGCTGGGCACGGCCCATCTCGGCTTGCCTTTGCCTTCTGACTGCAGCGAGGGTTTGCGTGGGGCTCAGGACCCACCAGTGCACAAGTGCAAGCTGGTAACAAATTCTTCCCATGTTAAAAAACCAGGCTGTGAAAAAAAGCAAATAATGTCACGAATCTTTTAGAGATGTAGCTTATCATGAAACAAAAGGTCCTCCAAAGGATGGGTTCTGCAGAAGAAGGACACTGTGCAGTTTTCAGGGCAGAGACAACCCAGACAACCAAAGGTCGGCAATCGCTGCTAGCAGGCAGGCCATGAAAATCCTGGTCTGTACCTATGGAGCTCCTTCAGAGTCCTGTGATCCTTCCAAGCCCAGGATCCCCAAGACCACAGTGCAATGGCATCCGAAAGTCAGGCTGCTCTGGCAGGAGTTTGTCCTGCTGCAGCAGGTTCTGGCTTCAAGCCTTTCTCATCCAAAGGCTCCCACAAGTCAGGCACAAGTACAGCCACCTCAGCTCCCTCTCTAGCTTTACATCCCCTCACCGGGTGAACAATGCAGTCTGACAATAATTACAAGCGCAACTCAAATATTTATGCTTCCCACAAATACTTACAATCAGCCGGCCCCCTCACGCTAACCCACCACGACGCCAGGCCTTGGAGCTCAGGGAGGCTGCAGTAACAGTTTGCCTGAGGTCCTGAAACCTGAAAAGCCAGCGTACTTGAAAACGGACTGCGCCACGATTTGAACTGCCTGCATGATGGCTGACTTGATTGCTTTCCCAACAGCAGCCATGGAAAGCTGCATGGGAAATTTTTCTGTTAAAAAACATTCAAAGCACAGTTTCACCGACGTTTCTTCTGGTAGCCAGGCTGGCTCAATAGCCACTGGCTCCCCCCAGCCCTTCTCCCCTGCCAGTCACTCACTCACTCCTGTTGTCCGAAGAGCAGATTTTTTCCCCGGTGTGCAACGAGCCAATAGTCACACACTCAGGAGAGACATTACTTATTTCATATTTGCACAAAGATGAGTGATAGGCGTATGAAATAAATAATGTCTCTCCTGAGTGTGTGATTATTGGCTCACTGCACACCGGGAGACAAATCTGCTCTTCGGACAACAGTTTTGGTGACCCAGATGGGACAGCCGTGAAGCCTTGCCCAGATCAACTGGCTGGCTACCGACAGGGAGAAGCTGCTCTTCAGACTCCAGCACGCACCGACCTTTTGTTTTGGGGGCTCCAAAACTACTCTCTCCGTCTGGAGTGGGTAAGCGACTCAAAGGTGCAACGTGTGACTTAAGAGACGTTGCAAAGGGGCATATAAGATTACATAAAAGGTACTTCGTGCACGCTTGACAGTGACGACTGGAGGGCACGAAAGCGTAGATAAGAACGTTCTTTTTGGGTAACAATGTGGGAGTGGGATAAGGGGCAGGACAGTCTGAATCTCCCCTCTGCCCTCCATTAGGATGCATCCTGAACTACTGGCTTAAGTTCGGTGGAGATCCCCTAACAAAGAGAAAATTAAAAGAATACTGCCATCAATGGTGGCTGATGTATAAATTGGATGATGGGGAAAATCAGCCAGAGATGGGAACTTTGAATTATAATACTATTTTGCAAGTTATGTTATTTTGTAGAAAACGGGATAAATGGGATAAGACCCCATATGTGGATTTGTTTTTTTCTTTAAGAAGTGATCACAAAATAAGAAAAAAGCGTAAATT